TCCCTCTGGAGTTGTGCCATTGACTTTTAAACATGCTTTGGTCCGGGCCCTATTTAAAACATCCGGTCTTTATGGCGGTGTGCTCAACTTCAGAACAAAGCTGCTTTTTATTTGTAAACTCTTAGAAAAAAATGTTTACTGTCAACTCAACTCGTTATTAGATGGACATGGTGTCCTGGAGGTGTTTCAGTCTGCTTTTAAATCTATAATTAGTCTTTGGCTTTTAATAGCATTTTGTGGCATCCATGGGCAGTTTTAAAGGGCTTTATAAATAAAGTGGACTTGAGTTGAGTTGAAAACATGACCACTAATTCTAACTACTTTGAAGAAAGACAGAAAAATGTGAGTTATTGGAGGTACATTGATGCTGATGAGGGCCATTTATTCAATAAAAGATTACATGTATGTGTTTTCTTTTACATTCATGATGCTTTAAAAATTCCTGTTAAAGACTGGGGCTTAGGACCCCGCATTGTTGTCTGGACATCATATCAATCAGAGGATAGAAACTGAGCGCTCACTTTGGGGATGGAGCTTTCTCAGACAGGAGCTCCGTTTCTAATGCAGTAATTGTACAGATAGAACTCCAGCCCCTGAAAGTCCAGAGAGACTGATTAGGGTAGAGACTGTGACTTAATTAAAGTCAAGTGCACCACTGGTGACAATCTGAGGATCAGCTGCATCGTTCATCAAGCATGAGGTGAAATCTGTTGGTGGTTTTCTGTTGTTTTAAACTGTGGCGTTTCCTGGGAGTGTCTTTAATTTTGGTTAAAGGCTTAAAAGGCTAAACAGCCTGTAAAATGTGCAACTTATTGAAATGAAGGGTTTTAAAGGGACAGTGTGGAGCACATCATTGGGTGGCTTTTCCTGTTAAGGTATTTATTTCTACCCTCTAAATCAGTTTTCCCTGCTCTACTCCCTTCTCTTACCGCTCTCCAGACCGGCTTTATTCCCTGCTTCACTTTTTAGCATTGCTCTCTCTCTGTCTTCTCTCTCCATAGTGGCTCCATCTGGCCTGATTTCTGTCGAGACGTGACTCCATCCTGGAGCGGTCATCAGCAGCTGGTGCTTCATATTTAGTTTATTGTGTAGATCCCCATTAGCCCATTTTGAAAGCTGTCGGGGTCCTTATTAAAAAAACATAGTAAAATATTTTTCATAAAATCAATAACAAGCATGCATACAGTACAACGACACTGCAACAGAAATAAGAAACAGTTTATATACATCAGTCCACAACTTGCATTTTATTCAACGACACCGTTAGGTAGGCTCTAGTTGCATTCAATTTTGTATATCTCAAAGAAAGGCAGACAAGATGTCATGATCTTGGTGTGGATATCTGGTCTGATTACTCATTTTATTCACCTGCCCAACTTCATCCAGTTCTCATTACTGCTCATCCGCCTGCTTCAGCTTCTATTTAACCAGCCTTCCGACAAGCCATCAGTGCCAGATTATTCTCGAGCCTGTGGTGAGAGTTCTCTAGCGTTCTTGCGTGTTCTGATTGCCTGATCCTGACCCTTTCTTCAGCCTGTCTGTCCACATTCTGATCTGTTTGCCTGACCTTTCCTCTGACTCCTGCTGAATTCTGCCTGTGTACCGAAACTGGAACTGATTCCTGACACATACGTCTATGGATCTCTGATCTCATGGCCCTTACACCTGAGCACGTCCTCGACACTGGGTTTTGCTTCGCCTTCTGGATTATCCTGTCTTCCTTCGTCTGCTCAGCTCTGATCTCCTGCCTGTCCTCCGACCTTCAAGACACGAGCACCTGGGTCTCTCTAGGTCGTCGGCAGTCAACAGGCTGGAACCAACCTCATCCCGTTCCTGCCTTAGATGCCGACGCTGTTTCAATGCAGTTCTGTCTTAATACTGGGTCCTATTGTTCTGAGCCTGACACAAGATGTGGGACTGTAGAGAGAGGAAGGACATGCAGCAAAATGACCAGGCCCAGAATTTAACCTGTAACCGCCGGTGTAGGTACCAGATCTGCTCGGAGCCCTGCCCTTACTGATGACATCATGATACGGCAACCCCACTCACACAAATTGACTGCACCACTATTATAATAATCTAATCAATAAAGGAGTCTCAACTTATCCTTACCTATGTTTGCGATCATCTTATGTTTCTTTCGGTGACCTAAAGTAGAAAACAGCCCTTTTCCATCTTGAATCCAGTACTGATTTCTAAGACAGACTGAGCTCTGCTATTTAAAAAGTCTCAGTTCTCCTTTTTTTATTTATTTTTTTATTTTAATTAAGATTTGAGGGCAGGAGAGGAATGATCGAACATTTAAAAAAATATACTTTTGTGGAGATTTTAGACAAAGAGTTATTCTTAGGGTTAGAGTGGAACTAACTTTAAGCCCTAGAGTTTCACACCTCAGAAAAGATAATGAATTATTATTAAGATAATGAATTATTATTATTAAAGTGAAATTGTAAACTTACAGGTTAAGTCTACTACATCACCTAACATAGGTTAGGGTTGCTTCACAATACAGATTTATTTGAAAAGGGCAAATTTCCAACATTATTCTTCATAACAAGACGTTTGTTGATCTGACAGTATCAGATCATCAAACAGTTCAAATAAGTGTTCACATATATCGAAACCTTAACACTGAAATTTGGGATCACAAAATGTTTTGAATTGAATTTTGCAAGTTATTTTATATGTTTGTTTAAAACCGTACACTTCAAACTATGAGCTTGAATCTCACTGAGATTGACCTGTAGAAATAAAGGTGAAGACAACGGCAAACACGTCTGTTAATTTTATATTATCTTTTTTATTTGGTTAGATAATCATTTGAAGCAATTAGTTGTTTTTCAGATACTGACATCCAACAATAGCTTAATAAATGATATTTACCTGTTTAATGCTTGTTGAATGAAAACATAAAAGCAAACAGATAGTTACACACAGAGATCAAAGGCTGTGTTTATATTATTCTCATTACTAACTTTTCTTTTTCTTTATTTTGTTTATTTATGATTGATTTAAATACTTTAAATGTTTTCCTGTGCTTTGCTTGATGTTTGAAGGTATGCTTATGTAACCGGATCCTTTCTGCATTGTGCTGGTTTATTAACCCCTAGAACCCTACGGACCCACCGGCGGGTCCAGCTGCTACGTGACCTCGTAATTCTAACAAACTCCCAGTATTGATGTAAAAAACACATTTGGCACAGTTTGGTGACATTTTTTGATAAATGTGCCAAAATGGCCCCTCCGCCTAAGAAATTTCTCACTAATACCATTCTAAAATAAATATGATTCATCTGATTGAGTCCAAATTTGGTATATTTTTACACAACATTTAGATTTAAAAGTCTGTACTACTTTTTTGTGCTATAAATAATATATTGGTGGTGTTTTGCAATGTTTATTTCAAAGAAAATTTTGGCGAGGTTCAAAAAATGCAAAATATTTTGTATTTTGTCCCTAATATTTCAGGCAGGGTCAAAGCTACAATGGTGCTGACACCAGAAAACCATTCTATGACATCTTACCTTTACAGAGGTACCAAAAGTTTCTTCTTAAATCTAATAGCTGGGAGGCTATAAGTGATTTACTTTTGTGTGTTTTTGTCAGGCAGAAATTTATTTATACCCCCTTAGGGTGTAAGAGGTTAAGTGATCAGGCCATGACACAGTTTGTCTATAACAGGACAGTTTCCCGATTTATGTGCCTGGAAAACAACATACAAAACAACTGTGTTATTGGCTGCCCACTCCAAGTCCTACACAAAACAGAAGTACTTAACAAAAATTAACTTAATAGATCTATAAATAAACTGGATATATTCAGATGAAAAATAAATGGCACACACCTCTCCTGCAGGACAACATGACAAAAGGGGGGGGGGGGGGGTCTAAGGGGTGCAGACAATTTAAAGACAATACCACAGAAGAAGTCAAAAGGAGGGGCTTGCACTCTTACAGTAGCAGCACAGTTAAAACAATGGCATTTTCTTTTTTTTTCAGTCAGGTAAGTAACAATACAAATAAACAAATAAAAACATTTTGTGTAATTATAACAAAAGAGAAATACAACCAGGTTACATTTAGTCATTCTGTTCGTATACGTAGGATTGTTTTATAATTCTAGTCTAGTAAGGTTTTGGCTTTTAGTACCTAATTTTACATAAAACTTTTGTTGTTGTCTTTTTTCCAACATTTGCTGTCATGCCATTGGCCCATAAATAACCCAGTGCAGCTGGCGGGAGACAGAAGTGCTCTTCCAGAAATAACATCACTGTCAGACAGTGTCTCCAGGCTCATTTAGCTATTGCAGAGCTGCAGAACCCCTGAAACCTACTTCATAGGTGTGCTAAAGGAGCATCACTGCAGATCCTTCCTCTCAGTTGCTAGAGATTATAATCACAGTATTCAGATAATTCAATAAGTTATATCCCTGCTTTTAATTGCACATTCTTTCCATTCTTTTCAAATGGTATTTTGCTGCTTTTTATGCAGATCTACAGAATATATGTCCATTAGGTTAACTTGAAAATCGCCATACACAGCTGCAATTTACATCTTCGGAGTTATGTTTTTATTAAATGTTTGTTCAGTATGCTTTACTTTTAGACTGAAGACCTAATTTTGTACATTTATGCAGTTCTACTATTGTTTTATAAGACATCTATTTAGCAGAGATGGACCTGAAACTGAGTACTGGTGGATGACTTTTTGGCATAGTGAGGAAAAAATTATATTTATCTATATATATAAGTTTGATATCATTGTATTTATATGAGCTAATTGTTAAAGGTATTGTATCTTTAACTGTGTTTTTATTTTTTTTATCAAGGTAGATCGGATCCAGCGGCTCTCAAAGCCCAGAGGCACCTGTCATGTGCACAGATGTCCTCCAGATGGCGCGCTCACAGCGGCGGTGCGAGATCTAAAATGATAACTTCAAAGACATTTGTTTATGCCTGATTATTTCCTTTTAATTGTCTGTTTTTAAATAAAAATAACCGGTTTCTGATCATATAGTTTCATAATATTATGAAGGATATTCATGGTGACACGTCTGTAACGTCGCTCTTTTAATATCGATGTACGTTTTGTTTTGTTCGCGTGTGCTTTTGCGTGGCCGGGTATCTGAGCTGCACCTAAACGCATCACCAGAGCTAACGTTATACCCCAAACAAACTGTCCTGCAGCTAAGAAGGAAATACTTTGCTCCGTTACTCTTTTTCTATCACCAATAAGGTAACGGTATCATAGCTTATTTCTAAATATCAGAAAAGCCACACAGTTTGCTAGAGACGTTTCTAACACCTGCTAATGAATCGAGCTAACATCCAAATCAATGAAAACCTGTTGTCTCAGCTAACACCTGTTAATGGAAGCTAGCTAGCTAGGCTTGTTTTAAAACAATAAAACGGAACAACAGATAAAACCTGGCTGATATCAAAATCTTCCGATGTCTGTCTAGACACGGTTAGGATTTGTAATTTAAAGAAAAGGTTATGGTAATTTCAAGTTAGCATCGCTGCTAACTCGATGCTACTATTCACTTATCGATGACGTCAGTGTGATTTTTAGGCTGCTCATGTTGTTGTTGTTTTTTTTTATCTCCTAGTCCTTCCTTTAGGGTGATTAAGGGAAATTCTGGACAGATTTATTGACATGTTTGTCTCAGCAGCGATCATTGTCAGTGTGAGTGTAGAATGGAGACAGGTTCTAAACTACAAACGAACTTTATTATGGTAGGTGGTAGGAGTTCATCCTCTTATCAGTTCTGGGATTAGTAGATCATAAACTGATCCTTTTATTTTATTATTCTAATATTATTTGCTGATATAAAACAAAAGGAAAAGTTGCAGGTGTAGTTATTTCATTTTACCCCTGAAACATAATAGAATAATTTAGATAATTAGAAGGTATACAAGAATTCCAGTTATTTTTACTGAATGTTTATCTGAAAAAGGAACTCTTCTCCATTGTTTGTGTGAATGTCCTAAAGTCCAGAAGTTTTGGAAGGATGTTATTAGGTGTCTATCTGAATTGCTTAAGTTAAAAGTCCCATTAGAGGTTCAAATTTGTGTTCTAGGAAAATATATCCAATAGAATTTAAGCAAACACAAAAGACAACTACATTGATAGATTATGGACTTCTTTAAACCAGATGATCTATTGCACTATGCTGGAGGAACATGGAAGCAAGAAGTTGCAAGCTCACATTGCAAAGGGCAAACAATGGGACTTTGAGAATCTATAGGAGCCATATATGAGGATCATGGGACTGAATGAGGAGCTTATTGTTTGGAGTTTTGAATGGATGTCTTGACTACAGTTTTTATTCTTATATTGACCATTTTTTAATTCTTTTTTAAGTCTCTGCCTTAATCTAAATGGCTTTGTATATTTTTGGAACTAGACTTATGCAGGTTTAAATGGTGAATGCAGGGGTGAATGTAAGTGTGTACAGTATAAGTACATCTTACAAGCTTAAGTTTGTTGTCTGTACGTTTTGTTGTATCAAAAAAGAGACGATTCAATATAATATGTTTGAGAAAAAAGAAGGTATCCAACTAAACTGAAGTTACTGAAGTTTTAAAAAGTTCCAGTTTGAGAAACCAGAAGAATTTTTTTGTCTTCTTGGGGTTTCTGTTGAACCGAAGAACTAATTGTAGGTCTTCTGTTTTGTTTTTCGTTTTTCAATTGATTATTTTATTTTAATCAGTAATATTGTTATTAATGGTTATCATACAGAGAGATTGTGCTATTAATCCAGGTTTTCCTTCGCAGTGACATTGTGTACCTTTTGCACATCTGTTTATTTTTTGTCTTAGTTATCTAATCAAATTGGGGAGTTTTGGCCTAGTGGTTAGAGCGGTGCACTTATGCTCTGAGAAGGTTTCAAGTACTCGGTTTGATCCTCACAACCTCAACTCTGGATTGCTGAGCAAGACCCTAAACCCTGCACTGCTTCCTGGGAGCCACACAAAAGCAGCCCGCTGCTCCCCGAAGGGATGGGTTAAATTTAAAGGGTGGATTTCCCCATTTTGGGACAATAAAGGGATTTAGATTAATTACAAGTTATGGAGAAACAATCAAAAGGTTTAAATCTGAGCCTGATTAGTTTCAGTACTGAACTATTTTCCTTTTTACACCCCTTATGCATTGATTGGCTCTGTTTTGGACTGTTTTTGATTTAAACCTAATTTAAACCTAATATTACGTAGATTTTAGTAAACTCTCATTTGATGTTATCAAAGAAATCACAACACAAATAGTGAAAATGTTTTCTGTAAATCCATGACCAAAAACTAAAGAGCTTCTGAAGAGGATTAGACAATGATATGAGACGATGTTAAAGTGAGCAATCTGTTTCTCTGTGCTTCCAGTGGAGATGTTGGGTTGTATCTGGCAGTATGTCTACACATCCTTCCTGAGATACTGGTTGAAGTGGCTCATCAGGCAGGCTACTGGGACGTGTGAGCTGCAGAGGATCTGCTCTGGATACAATCCGGGAGCAACAAGGACGTCCAAAGCAGGTGAAATACTCATCCAGCTCCGCTCCTGCTGTTGGCTGATTTCATTAATTACTTTCCCTTCAGTACTTCACTAATCCACTTCTGGTTTCTTTATCTTCCAGAATATTCTCTCCAGTCCTCCAAAAACAAAGTAAGACAACTGATTTGAAATCAGGAACCTCAGCTAACTTCAGATGCAGCTAGCATGTCGTCAGTTTTAAGTTCATCTGCATCTCCTGAGTTTCAGTTAGGAGCAAACTGTGGATCTCCTTCAGTTTTTAATTATTATTTAAATTATTCAGAAAAGTAAATCAGGATACAAGCTGGTTCTATGATATTACTCCTGAGATTTCTGGAGTTTCTTTATTGGCTAAGATTAGACATGCTTTTACCAAACTAGTGGAGAACCTTTTATTTTGCTTAAACTTGAACTAAAGGTATTGTTGTGAAATTTTTATCATATTTTTGTATTAGAAAAAAGGATTTTTGATATTTTTTGCAGCTTATAAGCTACAAGCAAAGTAGAGCCTGACTGTGAGGCAGAAATGAAATGATAGAAGGGTCTCAATCATTGGAGGAATAAACGATTGTTTACTTTGATGCATCTGTCAGTAAACTGTGTTGGCTGCATCTGCCGAACAGCAGCATGTCTGACCCGTTGATCTGTGAACCTTCAGATCAGCAGATCTTCTGATCCTAATCGTTTTTATCTTGCCTGGCATAGATAGATTGTGATTACTGCTAGCTGAGCAGCTTTCTGATAATCAGTGCTTCATCAGGCGTTGATGCTGGTGTCTGTTTTTATTGTGTTTGGTCTCCTTTTGCAGGTTTTGAGAGGAGCTTTGGGAGCTAGCAAGGATGATTTAGAGAAATGTGTGGATCAGATTATGAAAGAGAAGAATATCAAACCTGAAAAAGACCCCCAGTAAGTTTGTGTTTAAATTTCCCCCATGAACATGATCATTGGAGCTCTGATGGGTTGCTGCTCTGCTTCCTTTTTCAGGTTCAGGGGGAGGCTGCACATCTGCCTGCTGCAGATAACTGGCTACAGCAGCTTGTTTTCATCGGTAGAAGACCTGAGAAAGGAAGTTTTCAGCTCTGAGTGCCCACAACACGAGGCCATGCTGCTGAAGGTTGGACTTCCTGGTAGTGGACTCAGGTGGTCTGCTAGCAGGCTTTATCTCCGCTACGTGTATCCAAACAGCATGTTAGCAGTGCTCCTGTTTTAATCAGATAACGGCTGTGTGATGATGATGATGATGATCATCATCATCATCTCTGTGTTTAAATGCAGCTCTGGGGCTTGTTGATGCCATCAGTGGAGCTGGAGTCCAGGATAACGAAGCAGTGGGGAGACATCGGATTCCAAGGAGATGATCCTAAGACGGACTTCAGAGGCATGGGCCTGCTGGGCCTCACCAACCTGCTGTGAGTCCTTCACAACTTCTAGATGTTGATCTAAAACTCAAGAACCTGATGTAAAACATAAGAACCTTATCTAAAACATGAGAACCTGATCTAAAACATGAGAACATGATCTAAAACCCTAGAACTTGATCTAAAACCCCAGAACCTGATCTAAAAACTCCAGAACCTGATCTAAAAACTCCAGAACCTGATCTAAAAACTCCAGAATCTGATCTAAAAACTCCAGAATCTGATCTAAAAACTCCAGAACCTGATCTAAAAACTTAAAACCTGATCTAAAAACTCCAGAACCTGATCTAAAAACTCCAGAACCTGATCTAAAAACTCCAGAACCTGATCTAAAAACCCCAGAACCTGATCTAAAAACCCCAGAACCTGATCTTATATTCACAACCTGATCTAAAACTCAAGAAACTGATCTAAAACTCCCTTACTTGATCTAAAACTCCAGAACCTGATCTAAAAACTCCAGAACCTGATCTAAAAACTCCAGAACCTGATCTAAAAACCCCAGAACCTGATCTTATATTCACAACCTGATCTAAAACTCCAGAACCTGATCTAAAACTCCTTAACCTGATCTAAAACTCCAGAACCTGATCTAAAACTCCTTAACCTGATCTAAAACTCCAGAACCTGATCTTAAACCCCAGAACCTGATCTAAAACTCCCGAACCTGATCTAAAACTCCCGAACCTGATCTAAAGCTCCAGAACCTGATCTAAAAACTCCAGAACCTGATCTAAAAACCCCAGAACCTGATCTTATATTCACAACCTGATCTAAAACTCAAGAAACTGATCTAAAACTCCCTTCCTTGATCTAAAACTCCAGAACCTGATCTAAAAACTCCAGAACCTGATCTAAAAACCCAAGAACCTGATCTTATATTCACAACCTGATCTAAAACTCCCTTCCTTGATCTAAAACTCCAGAACCTGATCTAAAACTCCTTAACCTGATCTAAAACTCCAGAACCTGATCTAAAACTCCAGAACCTGATCTAAAACCCCAGAACCTGATCTAAAACTCCCGAACCTGATCTAAAACTCCCGAACCTGATCTAAAGCTCCAGAACCTGATCTAAAACTCCAGAACCTGATCTAAAACCCCAGAACCTGATCTAAAACTCCAGAACCTGATCTAAAACCCCTGAACCAGATCTAAAACCCCAGAACCTGATCTTAAACTCCCGAACCAGATCTAAAACTCAAGAACCTGATCTAAAACTCCAGAACCAGATCTAAAACTCCAGAACCTGAACTTAAACTCCAGAACCTGATCTAAAACTCCCGAACCAGATCTAAAACCCCAGAACCTGATCTAAAACTCCTGAACCAGGTCTAAAACTCCAGAACCTGATCTAAAACTCCTGAACCAGATCTAAAACCCCAGAACCTGATCTAAAACTCCCGAACCAGATCTAAAACCCCAGAACCTGATCTAAAACTCCTGAACCAGGTCTAAAACTCCAGAACCTGATCTAAAACTCCTGAACCAGATCTAAAACCCCAGAACCTGATCTAAAACCCCAGAACCAGATCTAAAACTCCCGAACCTGATCTAAAACTCCCGAACCTGATCTAAAACTCCCGAACCTGATCTAAAACTCCCGAACCTGATCTAAAACTCCAGAACCTGATCTAAAACTCCCGAACCTGATCTAAAACTCCCTAACCAGATCTAAAACCCCAGAACCTGATCTAAAACTCCTGAACCTGATCTAAAACTCCTAATCCAGATCTAAAACTCCTGAACCTGATCTAAAACTCCTAATCCAGATCTAAAACTCCTGAACCTGATCTAAAACTCCTGAACCTGATCTAAAACTCCCGAACCTGATCTAAAACTCCCGAACCAGATCTAAAACCCCAGAACCTGATCTAAAGCTCCAGAACCTGATCTAAAACTCCTGAACCTGATCTAAAACTCCTAATCCAGATCTAAAACTCCTGAACCTGATCTAAAACTCCTAATCCAGATCTAAAACTCCTGAACCTGATCTAAAACTCCTAATCCAGATCTAAAACTCCTGAACCCCATCTAAAGCTCCAGATCTGAACCAGCCCATCAAATCCAACACTTCTAGGACCAGTCAGAGCATTTGCAGTGTGTCTGCAGAATTAGATTTGATTCTGTTTTTATAAGACAGTCCAGCAGAACATCAGCCAACAGGAAGCTGAGCGATCACAGTATCTGAATTTGGAAAATAATTGAGTAAAGACTGCTGGATCTGATTATAACTCTTTATGAAGGCATCAACCTGTATATTAATACATTTGTGAATTTATCAGCTGTGTTTGAACGATGTGATCCAAACATAACCACTGAAGATTAATTTCACAAACCTTCAGCTGTTCTGCTCAGCCTGTTTTAGAACATCAAATCAGGGCTTTAGAAATTATAACTATTATTCTGACATCAGTCTAACTGCTAACCCACGCTTGTTTGGAGACTTCTGTTTAGGCCTGACCTCTGAGAGGTGGGTTTAACCCCAGACCCTGTTTCTCTCATCCTTTTTGCAGTTTCTTCAGTGAGACCTACCCAGAAGAAGCTCGCCAGGTGCTGTCCCATGCTAACCATCCTAAACTGGGGTGAGGCGTCCTCCCAGCTCAGCTTCTCTCTAAAGCTCCACCAGGGGAGACCTCTGACCATGTGTGATGTGTTTCAGGTATTCCTACGCTATAGTGGGGATCAACCTGACTGAGATGGCCTTTAGTCTGCTACGGAGCGGAGCTCTGAAACCACATTTCTATAACTCGGTCCAAAGCGCCCCTGAGCTCAGAGACTTCCACCTGTTATACTGTGAGTTCTAAGTTCTCCACTTTAAACTGAACCCATCTGGGCCCAATGCAGCCACAGCCGTCTGTTTTGCGGGTTTGATGATAACTGGAAGGAAAGGCCCTACTAGTTTTACACTTTGTCCCCAATGTTGCCCTCAGGGTGGCTATCTGTTGCAGCAGTGTAAGGATGGATATTGTTACTCAGATGATTGCCCACTTCTTGTGTGGAACCCGGTTCTAGGTGGGATTCCAACAGCTTCTGGTTCTGGAGCCTGATGGTTTTCCTTCTTCATATTCAACACATCAACAGACGCAGCTGTTAGAAGCTGTAAGAATTAGATGGGTTTGATTTATCAGAAATAATTTATTGCTTCAAGGGATCCGGTTAAAACCTGTGATAGCGGCGAGATGAGATGTTTGTGGTCAGTAAAGGTCAGACAGTCTCTAACCACTCATGAAATACAGGAAGATCCATCTTTTCACCTTGTAAAATTGTTTGATGCTGCTGAGCGCCATCGGTCCTTCAGATCTGTGGCTGGTCTTATGACCCGGGCAGATGGTTTAGAAAACAAACGCCTCTCCATATTCAACCAACAACGGTGGAGAAAAACAACAACCAAACATTGGTCTGCTTAATTTTTATAACTAACATAAATGTTAATTGTTCAGTATAATTTCTGTGTTGGATCCTTAAAAGGCAATCAAGGTTGATCAAGGATCCCAAGTGGGGTCTTGACCCCCATCCAGGGTCTCAGGACTGACCCCTAAGGACAGAGACGTTAACCTGAGACCCAGTTCACCTCTGATAAGCTGCTTTGTGAAGGCAAATACTTGATTTATTCAGGAAGTATGGCGTCACATTTATTTAAAAATGCCCAGGAGCAAAATAAACATACTCGCATGTATGTTACACTACTTCTGCTTATGGTTTATCTACCACCGCACAACAAAATCACACATGCGTGAGAAACTTCTGCTTCTGACGCACGCCTGGAATCTGGCCGTGCGCACGATTCTCTATCCAGCGGGCACACTCGAGGACGGCTGCGCTCTCAAAAGCATCTCTGCCCTGGTACTGATTTTCTCTTTGCACAAAGGAAAATGTGTTTTGACAGGTTGTGCAGAGACAAACCTCTTCTGTAAGCCTTCCCCTGATTGGGCCTTGCAGATGGGAAGCAGTGTTGGGAAGCCTTTGACTGCGACCACTTACCCCATGTACCGCAAACGCTGGAGAAGCTTCAGCGACTGTGTCGCCTCCAGCCGTTGTCTTCACTTATGGATGACGAGCTGTCATTCAAAGGCCTCCTGATGTTACTTCCTGTGTGATCGTGTCTACAGTCGTCCTCGAGCGTGGCCGCTAGAAAGAAAATCGTGTTCGCTATGAGTTCCCGAGCACGATCTCGAGCAAGTGTGGGAGGAGCTAATGCGTGCAGAGAGCGATTTTTCTCCCTCGAAGCGTCAGTTTCTCACCCGTGTATGATTTTGTTGTGCGGTGGTAGATAAACCTTGCGCTGAAGTAGTTTATCACACATCCGAGTATGTTTATTTTGCTTGCGGCATTTTGAAATAAATGGGACGCCATTAGGGATAGGAATCGGAAACCGGTTCCTGTTCAGAACCGCTTTCGTGTGTTTCAATTCCATGGCACCATTTGGCAGCTCGCTGAACGATCCTCTTAATTCCAGGCAGCACCAGATACTAGGGCTCTGGGCAGCACGACTTACGTCACGTTTTTTACGCAAGTTACGCACACGGCATTTAGTAAGTAAGTACGATGTGAGCAGGCATAGGTCTAGAAAAGCAAAAAAAAAAAAATGGCGCCCCATTGGGTAAAGCGATCTAAAGTTTGGCTTCATTTTAAGGAAGAGATAGATGGCAACAAGACGCTTTGATATCAAAGTAGCAATTACATCCACGGGAGGAAATCCATCCAACATGCAGAAACACCTGCGCACACAACATGGCATACATTTTAACAAATGCCGTGTGGCTGTCCTTAATCTGGTTCCTAGTAAATTATATGCCATTTCTGGCATAAACCAATTTCCTACCTCTCTTTGGGGTTATTAAGGGAGCGTGTCTTTCTTTTTAATCCAGCCCTTCATTGCTAGCATGTTTAATTAGAACTACTGGTAGCTGGAATTCTTACATGATTCTAGCTATTGCTATGGATGTAACAAAACATGCTTGTTGCCCCGCATTCAGGAAGCGAGAGAAAGGTGACACTTGTTTATTTAAATTGTACTGTAATGCTTTTTCATTAAACTGAATCGATAAGGAATGGAATCATTTTGCAGAATTGATAAGGGAGTCGGAATCATGAAAATCCTATCAACTCCAACCCTAGACGCCATAAGGAGTATTTTAGTAAAAGGGCAGAACAGATGATATACACTCACCGGCCACTTTATTAGGTACACCTGTCCAACTGCCCGTTAACACTTAATTTCTAAGCAGCCAATCACATGGCGGCAACTCAGTGCATTTAGGCATGTAGACATGGTCAAGACAATCTCCTGCAGTTCAAACCGAGCATCAGTATGGGGAAGAAAGGTGATTTGAGTGACTTTGAACGTAGCATGATTGTTGGTGCCAGAAGGGCTGGTCTGAGTATTTCAGAAACTGCTGATCTACTGGGATTTTCACGCACAACCATCTCTAGGGTTTACAGAGAATGGTCCGAAAAAGAAAAAACATCCAGTGAGCGGCAGTTCTGTGGGCGGAAATGCCTTGTTGATGCCAGAGGTCAGAGGAGAATGGCCAGACTGGTTCAAGCTTATAGAAGGGCAACAGTGACTCAAATAACCACCCGTTACAACCAAGGTGGGCAGAAGAGCATCTCTGAACGCACAGTACGTCGAACTTTGAGGCAGATGGGCTACAGCAGCAGAAGACCACACCGGGTGCCACTCCTTTCAGCTAAGAACAGGAAACTGAGGCTACAATTTGCACAAGCTCATCGAAATTGGACAATAGAAGATTGGAAAAACGTTGCCTGGTCTGATGAGTCTCGATTTCTGCTGCGACATTCGGATGGTAGGGTCACAATTTGGCGTCTACAACATGAAAGCATGGATCCATCCTGCCTTGTATCAACGGTTCAGGCTGGTGGTGGTGGTGTCATGGTGTGGGGAATATTTTCTTGGCACTCTTTGGGCCCCTTGGTACCAATTGAGCATCGTTGCAACGCCACAGCCTACCTGAGTATTGTTGCTGACCATCTCCATCCCTTTATGACCACAATGTACCCAACTTCTGATGGCTACTTTCAGCAGGATAATGCGCCATGTCATAAAGCTGGAATCATCTCAGACTGGTTTCTTGAACATGACAATGAGTTCACTGTACTCAAATGGCCTCCACAGTCACCAGATCGCAATCCAATAGAGCATCTTTGGGATGTGGTGGAACGGGAGATTTGCATCATGGATGTGCAGCCGACAAATCTGCGGCAACTGTGTGATGCCATCATGTCAATATGGACCAAACTCCCTGAGGAATGCTTCCAGCACCTTGTTGAATCTATGCCACGAAGAATTCAGGCAGTTCTGAAGGCAAAAGGGGGTCCAACCCGTTACTAGCATGGGGTACCTAATAAAGTGGCCGGTGAGTGCATTTGGTAACTGTGCAACCTCCATGTCATGGGCTGCAGTATTTTAAGACTCTGAATCGATTCCTATTTCTGCTTTCAATTGGAGAACTTTGGATGTCATGAACACTTCAGCTAGCCGTTCTGTCATTTCCTCAACGCTCCTGTGCTTGTTTCCGCAGGTTACCTGGCGTACGAGTTTGATAGGTTCTGGGTTGCTGAAGAGCCGGAGAGCATCATGCTCTTCAACCAGTACAGAGAGAGGTTCCACAGCATAGTGAAGACCCGGCTGCAAGACCCCGCCGTGTCTCTGACACTAGCTCCTCATTAACAGGATCCAACACTTTCTGCGCCCGCGTACGTCCCGGTTCCATCTGGGTGAAGCAGAGAGACAGCAGGTGCCTGTCCCTGCTGGGGAAGAAGTCAGGGTCACTTTCCTTAGTGGTTCTCAGCCTGTTTTATCTCAGTCCAGCACAATTGTCAGTCCCAAACCTCCAGAGATGGACCATTCCAGCGACTGCCGACAGATGAGAGCTGCTGAAGACTCAGGTAGAGATGATGATCCGTGAGGCTTTAGCCACCTTTACTGATCAGATTTTCACACTTCAAATGTAAAAACCTTTGATCTTGTGTTTAAACTCCACCCCTTGGCTCCTTTTATCCTCAGGTTGTTCAGAAAACTCAATGGTGGTTCATTATCTCTCCTTATTGATGTTGTGTAGGAGTGATGCTTCATGACCCGTTTTCATGTAGTTTTATTTCCAAAGACTGAATTTTTTATTGTTATTTATTTTATGCTCTAGTTTGTATTCGTTGAGGATTGGCCATGACTAACGAAATAAATCTGGAACCTGAAACGAAAGCTGTCTGTGTGGTTCAAAGGGAAAACAGGAGGGGTGGCTGTTTTTCTATCTCTCCACATTCCTCTACAAACAATGACAAATGTTCCTCCTATTGACAAATCTGACACCTCTTCCATTTGTAAACAGTTATGAGATTGAAAACATCTCTACTAATAACCTGGATCAAACAGGGTTTATCATTATAGTTTGAAACGTTTGTTTAATATCACGCATTTTGTTAAATAAAAACATTCCATAAGTGTAGCAGCATCACTGAATTCTGACAAGGCATCGATATGAATGGAAATATTTGTACATAGTCCTTCAGAAATGAGGTTTTGGTTAATGGATACGATATAGTTTACATCTCTACAGTTAATAACGATGGGGTGACATCTGGTTGGTTTCTGCTTTTCAGGGGAACGAGGAGATCCCATTTGCTCTGCCTGCCTATTACAGGGTTTCCGCATGTCATTAAAAATCATTAAAAGTCATTAAGTAATTAATTTTTACATTAAACCCTGTATTAGAATAAACCCTAATATTTGTGGCTTTGAGATTGTCGCTCATATGCACAGGGTTATCTTTTTTCGTTGATGACAGCATTTTATTTTTTACCAATCCGGTCCAATTCACCTGGATACAAGATTAACCTGGAAGAAAGCGAAGTTTTGATGCTGTTACTATTAAAAGGATGTACACTTTGAAATGGTTTCAATTTTGTAACATTTTAACCTTTACCTAAAAAAGTATTTGGTAGAATAAGTGTTATATATGTGGAATTTCCTTTTTTCCTCTCTTAGGGCCCTGTCACACCTTGCCGATTTAGCCAGTTTATGCCCGATGTCCCAGAATCTCCTAAAACGCTGCCACACGCTGAACTTTCTGTTTTGTTTTTTTTTTTTCCCAATTTTGGGCATATACATAATGAGTCCAGAACTTATGTCCAACAACAGCCTAAGGCTACGTTCCCACTGCCGCTTGAAGTGACCCAAATCCGATTTTTTTTGGCCCATATGCGACCTGGATCTGATGTTTTCATGGCAGTCTGAACAACACAGATCCGATTTTTTCTAGTCCGACCCAAGCCACTTGGCTATGTGGTCCTGAATCCGATACGAATCTGATCTTTTCAAATGCGACCCATGTCTTAACGGCGAGGTCACATTCATCCAATCTGAACGCCATTAATACCCGACATAGGTCACTATTCTGCTTCTTGCTACACAGAAGCGACAAGAAAAACAACAACCTTGGCAGATAATGATGCAGAGAGCAGTATTTATGTTTAAACATCTTGAAAAGATTGAGGTTTTTAGGTGTGGAAAGATCGCTGGATGCGCTCCAGCACTACATCCATGTTTACTTCCGTAAACACGAAGCACGCTGGCTTGCGACGTCATTGCGTCCTCTAATGCCCATGCGGGACACTTAAGCTGTATGAATGCAGTTTACACAGGAGATCACTGACAACTCGCATATGTTTGGAAATGTGAAAGCAACGCAAAAAAATCTGATTTCACAAAAATATCGGAATTGTGCCTCAAGGCGTGACCGTAGCTTAACTTATGCATAACGCACGGCAGCGTAATGCCCATGAAATTATGCACAAGGAAGTGTTACCTCCAAAGTTCATAAGCGTTGGAGATAAGTTCTTAAAAAGTTACGCATAATTTATGAATAAGTTAATCCGAAGTTTTCGATAAGCTAGACACCATTACTTGTGCGTAAGTCCCAATGGCAACGATCAGATAACTTACCTTTAACTTATGCTCCACATACTGCCATACTTTGGCACACGTCCGGAAACACGACCTACTTGCTGTATGTCATGTTCAGCGTGCTCATAACTTGTAGAAAACGTACCCATAACTTAAAAGCTGTTCTTTTTTTTTACATTGGGCCCTTGATTTTACGTTATTACATCATGTTCTACTCACCCATAATAGTTTTGTCTCATTTGGAGCTGTTCTGAATATAATTGGTTAGGTTATCCAAGCGGAGTGTGTATGACGTCATCTGCGCGCCGGACTGGGGTTGTGACAGGCAGCCCGGGCCACAGGCGGCTACGCTCTACCCCTTATATTCATTCGGCTAGCTAATCTGAATCGTTCAATTCCGTTTGGAGAGCGAGATCATCTGTGGTAGCAGCACTAGACATCTTCCAGACATGTGAGGAAAACTAGCAGCAGTTCAGCAGACAGGAAGAATGAATGGTAGCCGGCGCACGCGAATGATGTCATACACACTCCGCTTTGTTTAAAAAATATATAAATATAAAAAAATATAACCACGGATGTCTGGGGGACAGTGATTCGCCTACATGTTATGAATGCTGGCGTACCATAAAGAATAAATTATGAACAGTTTAGTTTGTGCTTTCAACTCGTTGCCCATAGGAAGACGTTACGGAACGGAATATCTTCAGAACAGCTCCAAATGACACAAAACTCATATGGGTGAGTAGAACATGATGTAATAACGTAAAATCAAGGGCCTAATGTAAAAAAAATGGCGTTCCCCTTTAACCGACGTTTGCCAGCGTTTTTACCAGATTTTTCATACGTCAGGCATACACCGTTCTAAATCGTGAAGGTGTGACAGGGGCTTTAGAAAACAATCAGGAAGTTTATTTCGCATGATGGGACAAACTGAAGACAATCTATCACTGGAAAATGAAGGCAGACCAATCAAAGAGGATGTTGGAGGTCAGCTCCCATGTCTCTGGTCGAGTATGTGTGTCATGAAGGCCAGCCATTATTTACTAGGTGTGTTCAGCCCTCATGTTGACTAATAATAGCCGTTGAATAGTTTGAGAATTAAAAGTTTGAGAAGGACCTGCAATATCTATCAACTAAAAAATAACCGGCTCCATGCAGAACAGAAGGGAGAGCTTCTCTAAAACATGGCAGCCATTTTTAAGCTTTATGGGAAACGGAGCATCAGTGGTGGAGACTAACCTCCCTGGACTCCAGCTGGGCTCTATGGGCAGCCGTTATACTATCCGTCTGTCGCTGCAGCTCTGACTCCTAAATTGTCAGTTAACAATTCAAACCTTGTTCTGAACAACTCCACTCATTTTAAAACTAAGAATATACCAGGGAGGAACAGAAACACCAGTTTTAGTTTATTGGGAGGCTGGTTTGCCTCCTTAGCAGATTTCTACAAACATTACTTAAAGTGCAAACTTGTTTCTCTGGCTTTGAGTCCCACAGGGACCACTCTGCTCCCAGGGTGATGAAGTATAAATAAAGTTCAACAGGAAGGGATATTTCCTCCCCCTTAGACACACAGCATTCAGACTGCCATCCTGAGCTCAGTTTGGTGCTTCGATCCTTCTGGACATCATCATGGCCCTCTTGATCTGCTCGAATGAGACGAACATGACGACGTTCCAGGATCCCAGTCTCAGAAACGAGGGTACAAACCTGGAGAAGAGGAAACAAACCAACTTAGGGATATGTATGCTGCTTCACTTCCACTGTGAGTCTGTCCCATCCTCCTGGATGGATCCACGTGTGTTACAACCAGAAACGATTATTTACTGAATTTATGTAACACTGCTGAGAAAAGGTTTTCAATCAATTACAAATGATGGGCTGGGAAATTATAGCCTGGGTGCCATTCCGAACTTAGTCCCGCCCACAAAGTTTGAGGTCGGGAAGTTCGGTCTGGCTCTGCTCCATAGTAGCGCGAGTATTATCGCCCACTGTCAGGTGATCCAATCAAATTGTCAGGGCGGGCTTTATACGATGATGGACAGATGACAAACAGTAACGTAATCAACCACGTGACCAATGCGTGCTTGGGTGACAACAATAATGGCTGCCGCTGGAGAGTTTAGGTGAGTAGATTCTGCTATTAGGTCTGTTCTAGAAGATATCAACAGCAAATTAATTTTAAAAGAGGAACAGAGAAACACGATCAAGTCTCATCTTCTTATTATAGGCGTGAAACTGCACGCTTTGATTTTTGCGGACAACAACTATGCCTCGCTCAACATACGTCACGCACTCCGTTGCTCTTATTGGTTGTAGGTCTATCCAATTGAGTGCAGAGGCATTTTTTTTCCTGGTTCGTTCGAAACACGCCCCATAATCACAGCTCTATGGAGCAGTATCAGACTCATAATCTGACTAGAATTGAGTCGGACTACGTCAGGCTAGGGAAATTAATCCATGCACTAGAATTCCTAATTTGGATAGTTAAGAACAAAGGGGATGGAAGGAGTCTGTGAGGCCTGGACTTTGACTAGACCACTCCAACCTTCCATCCTGAACAATGCTTGTAGCTCTGGCTGCATGTCCAGGCAAGGTCTGCTGCTGAGTATCTGGTTTATCTGACAGCTTCAGAGTAAATGGGGGTAAAAAAACATGTCAGACTTTCCTTGGGTGTTGAGATGATCCAATTACGAGCAGGTGAACAGAACGTCTGGTTTAGTGTGTCTGGGACCGGCTCACCCTTTGTAAAACGCTGTTGGTCCCTCTTTAGTCATCATGGTCCAGGCGCAGTTGATGGCACTCCGGTACTGGCCTGGAGGAGAGTTCATGTATCGTGTTTTCACCACATCTACTGGGGAGGCGATCACTGTGGTGACGAAGCCCGCTCCGAAAGCAGACACAAAGTGGCAAGGCAGGTTATCTGTGGAGAGATAAAAGAGGATCCGCTCAACACTGAGCTGTTTGTTCTGGCCTGTCAGCAGTTAGTTTATCTTCTGAGTGGAGCAATGAGGACGGTTCTGATAAATCTCACATTAACTAGAGCATTTACAGCTCTGCCCAGGGACACTTATCAGCTGGAGGGGGCATGGCAGTTTGGGCCAATCGCTATTCCCCCTCTCTGACACACAAGTCTGATGAAAAGACTGCAGGTAAGGCAAATATAGCTGGAAGTTCATGTTACAACTCATCTATATGGCAGGTAGTTGGCAAATTTAATCCAGCTGCGGATACATTTTCAACAGTTGTAACAGAACAGGATTTTGAAATGGAATTTTTTTCTATTTTAAAAAATCACATAC